TTTAAACAATTGCTATATAGCAGTTTGTATTTTAAAGTATTGCTGTATAGCAGTTTGTTGTTTAAACAATTGCTATATAGCAGTTTGTATTTTAAAGTATTGCTGTATAGCAGTTTGTTGTTTAGACTATTGCTATATAGCAGTTTGTATTTTACAGTATTGCTGTATAGCAGTTTGTTGTTTAGACTATTGCTATATAACAGTTTGTATTTTAACCTATTGTTACATAGCAGTTTGCTCTTTCGAACATTGGATCTCAGCAACCTGAGTTAAAGAACAAGCAACCTAAGTTAGCTTGTTCTTGTCAGTTATTCCCCCCATTACTTCAGGTATTAGTCAAACAATAGTTTTAACAATGTTTTTTGTTGTTGTTTAATATGATTTGTTAGATTACAATATGTTTGTGAAATTTAGTACAAAAATACACTATACTATATGAATGCTGTTATTGTGATAAGAAGAAAACCAGAAAACAAGTTTTTATATGTATGAATTCCAATGATCCGGATATGTAAACTTGGCGTCTTGAACAATAATATAATTTCATCATTTCAAAAGCAATCATTCTAAAACACTGTTTGAATCCCTTACTGGTTGTACAATAATCTCAGAAGTGTTCATTCAAATATTAGTTTGTCTTACATCAAAAAGAAGCTTGACATACAAGATTCTTGCGAGCAACGTTTACAAGGCCTCTAGTGTGGAATCTCTGACGGTGTAGATGGCGCCTTGTCGGCGTCAGTCGGTCGGGTAGATTAGTGGTTGTCTTTATTTCCGACATACACGCTAAGAAAGTTGTTTTAGTTTGAAGGAGTGGATGGCTTTACGTACATTTCCGAAGAACCTTCATACAAAACACGAGTTGACTTGAATGCAATGCTGTTACCCAAACTTTCCCACCATACAGTTAAAGTTTTATATCGTTTCAAATTGTTAAGTCGATTGAATGCAGGGTAACATTTATTTCTGATCCCAAGAAAGGTAAACAAGAGACTCAACCTTGGCCGCGTGGTTACAGACGACGTTAATTGCCATTCAGCTTTGTCTGACTGTATTTCTTTTACAAGTGTGTCTAAAATAAAATATGAAATATCCAATACAGAAAATAATAAATAATATTTATTTACCTCATTGTTTTGAATGCCAGTTAGAAGACCTTGTATAACACGATCAGTGACAGAGAGAAGCTAAGAAAAAGCTTCTTTCTCTTTTCCAAGCTGAGTCAGGTCAGTGCCAATCAGTCAGAATGGGCCACACTCGACCTACAGTGAAGAAAAATGTAACTAGAAACATCTGTGCTAAATGGAAAAGACTAGACCACAACCATAGTATAGCTGTTAACGAAACTCTGGGAAAGTTAGCTGAAGTACATACCTACATTATTAACTAGAGATCATGTTTATTCATATTAGAAAAAAGTCGTATTTTCGTTGGTATAGGTCACTTTCTTGAAATGTATTTTAATAAAAATTCTAATATCTTGTACTGACCACAAGATACGTTCTTGTAGGACAATAGTATAAGATAAATTGTAAAATGTATTATTGCGCGCACACACATGCACATATTTTAAAGGTATTTTAGTATTCCAACTATGATGTATGTTATTCAGCGCAGTTGTTCCCTTAGAATATATTTTAGGTATTCCAGTTAAGATGTATATTATTCTGTGCATTTCTGCCCTAACAATAAATAAATAAAGGTGATCGAACAGACAACGTTAGAATATCTTGACACAAATATTGCTGTCCTTTTATAAGAGCATTTATACAAACAAATTTAGTCTTAGGTTAGTACAGTGCCCATCCTTAATATGACTCGCAGCAATCTTGGCCATGGTCGCAGAAAATTCATGGTATTACCCGATCCACTGTTAGATTTAGCCATGGTTAAATCTCTAGAGCTATTGCTTTTCCATAGTGATTAAACATTTTTGGAACGTATATACAACATTTGTTACATAAAAGTTTCCTGTTCGGTGGATTACTCAAGTCTCATCAGCAATGTACAATATTAAGTACAAAGTTACACAACTGACTAACTGCGCTGTGCCCACTACGGAATTGAAACCCGGTTTTTAGCGTTATAAGCCTCCAGACCTAACGCTGAGCCACTGGAGGTTCATTATTTTTAAAAGGAGACCATGCTTATCATCCTTTACTTCTAGTCAAGGCAAGCTATCTATATAGATCAAAACTAAAAATTAAACACTTCGCTGGCGATGTTTTATATCATAAAGTCTGTAGAGTCTATATGTAGGGATGGCCAATATACTCAATAGGCATAATATAAATATGCACGCTAAAAATCAACAATGACAGAGAGTTTTACTTTAAAAGATGATTGGTAATCACTTTCATTTGTTTCTCTACTCAACAAGCCCAAAAACAAGGCAAGAAGCCATCGCTAAAATACCAAACCAGAAAGTAACCAACCCACCAAATTATTCATCTTTCTTCTTGTTTCACTCGAGGTAACTCTACTACTACTTTATTACTAATGCCAGTTTACACCTAAATCCACTCCATGTGTTTCTGGGCAGTGCACGACGCCATCGATTGTATATTATTGATTGTTGGTATGCAGTTTCTTTATCATAATATCAAGGTTATATCAGGGTAGGTAATAATGTAGTGTAACTAAGAGCGTAGGACTTACTTACAAGGAAAACCAAGTTGAGTCAAACCATGTCTTGATTATTACAGACTACTGCAGACTCTTGCTACGAGATCGGTCGAATTGACCGACCTAGTAACCATTTTGTACTCGTGTATTTTACAGTGTGACATTAAATTTGAGTACTTAAAGTCATGTATGGATGATCTATGCATAGCTGTATCATTCCTATACTCTTGTTTGCATACTTTTTGGCACTGCCATCCCTACATCATTTTACACTTACAAAATGTTTTTTATTACTTGTTTACATTATTGGCAGTGTGTTTCATGCTCTCATTTTGTTTGAAAGTAATAGCTTAGGATTAAAGTTATTGATATAATGGAGTGAGACAAGATATAACCTATGAGAATACTTGTCACTTGTTGGAGAAGTTTGACTTATTGAAGTATATATACACAATAATTAAATTACCTCTTTTTTTAGCTAATGAAGAGATATATTACCCTAACTATTATATTCCAACTATCTCCTTAACAACGTGTACTCATGCTTTAAGATAGAAAAGGAGCAATAAGTAATACATTGAAAAGCGATAGAACTGTATGTAACAATAGTAACTTCCGCTCAAAGTTATGTGTTTAGAGCGAAACTGAATACTTACCTGGCCATCAGTACAGTTGATTAAATACACTTTACTTATGTTTCTACTTATAAAGATTAGAATGCATTATTTCATCAGTTAACGATATTTTAGACCATATTTCCTATAAATATCTCACGACGTTTGGCCAGCTTGAGAGAACAGTGGAAAACAATCTCTGCAATAAAAGTATAATAGTATAATCATTATTGTTAATGAAAGTAACAATAATTAAATAATATCGTTATTTAAGACTTATAACATAAGTAAATTAACGTAGAGAAAAGTCCGTGTATATTCTACAAATTAAATAATATAGTATACTTAGGTAGTTTAGCTATAATCACAAAACAATAAACCGAATTACCCGAACTCTTTCCTAAAGTAAATCTTTGTTCTTTACCATTAAAGGTCTATCTTCTGAAGTTTGGATTATCTGGTTCCTTGTTTTGTGATTAATCTGTTTGTTTTTATTTTATGTTAATTAACTTTTTGTTATTAAAATCTTCCATTTTTTTCCAACAACAAGAGGAATTAACAATATATCCTTAAAATACTTCCAAATATTTAACTGGAAAAATTACCATTGTAAATGAAATTCTTAAAGCACTTCTGGTGGACTGTACTTTCTGTCAAAACACTGAAACGTAACCACGCTCAGCAAAACCTGAGATTTTATTAAACCGTTTTGATCAACGTTACAGAAAAATAAGACGATTCTGTTACTTGAGGAAAGGGGGGGGAAGTATTATTTCTTATCGATTTCAAATACTTGTTCGAAGTAATGATATATATATATATATAGTTTTTTCGTAATGTTACGGTTCTGGTAACCATAGCAACGTGACTTTGAAAATATGATTTGTGACATGGAGACTTGAGACACTTTTTAGTATTTAAAATATACTTAAGTATCCATTACTACAAGTAAATAAAACCTACTAATCTGATTATGTATAGCCAGACTTACTTTCTTTTAAGAACCGTTGAAGTCAATTTCCTGGTGATATGTACTGTTTCAGTTTTGACCTGGCCCGGCATGGCCAGGTGGTTAGGGCACTCGACTCGTAATCTGAGGGTCGCGGGTTCAAATCCCCGTCACACCAAACATGCTCACCCTTTCAGCCGTGGGGGCGTTATAATGTGACGGTCAATCCCACTATTCGTTGGTAAAAGAGTGGCCCAAGAGTTGGCGGTGGGTGGTGATGACTAGTTGCCTTCCCTCCAGTCTTACACTGCTAAATTAGGGACGGCTAGCGCAGATAGCCCTCGTGTAGCTTTGCGCGAAATTCAAAAACAAACAAATAGTTTTGACCTAAACAACACCAAACAATTGTTTAATTCGGGAATTATTACGGAAAATGTACTATGACTTACTAAAGCTGGCATGTCACTTGTCAAATAATTTTAAGTCTTGTTGCGTGTGAAACATATTTATTTAAGGATACATACTTTGTTGGCGTATGACTAATGAGTTGTGACGTGTAGAAATTGAACAGGTATCATAACTGATGACATCTGACCTTCTGATAATAAGCTGTGATCGATCAGTAACTGTTAAGAATGATTTGTGGCTTTTTTTTACCTAGACTTTGCCCTTTAGTGCTACATTCTTATAATATCTTGTAACCCTTAACCTTTTATATAATATTCTAGACTGTTTATGTATCAAGTTACTTGTGTATCCATGACTCGGTTAGTTAGAGGGTTTCTAATATCACACAAAAATATTGAACAAAAACATCATGAATATTGTAATTTAACCCACTAATTACTGCTGCCTTGTTTGATTCTTTGTTATACATATACAAAATTTGCTATCTGGGCTGTGCCCACAGCAGGGTTCGAAACCCCAATTTCAGCGTTATGAGCTTTTAAGCAGGGCCACAAGGGAGTTGGATGGCAATTACTGTGGAAGTCATTAACAATGAACGGTATAAAAAGTGTGTGGACCTCACTAACAGTGAACGATTATATAAACTGTGTGTGGACCTCAGTAACAGTGAATGATATAAAAACTGTTTGTGGACATCACTAACAATGAACTCTATAAAAACAGTATGTGGATCTCACTAACAATGAACTCTATAAAAACAGTATGTGGATCTCACTAACAATGAACGGTATAAAACAGTTTGTGGACCTCACTAACAATGAACGATATAAAAACAGTATGTGGACATCACTAACAGTAAATGGTACAAAAACTGTGTGTGGACATCAATAACAGTGAATGATATAAAAACTGTTTGTGGACATCACTAACAATGAACTCTATAAAAACAGTATGTGGATCTCACTAACAGTGAACGGTATAAAACATTATGTGGACCTCAATAACAATGAACGATATAAAAACAGTATGTGGACATCACTAACAGTAAACGGTACAAAAACAGTGTGTGGACCTCAATAACAGTGAATGATATAAAAACTGTT